TAAAGTGTGTGAATTGTTATCATATGGAAAAGAAAGTAGAGTTATTGTGATGGCTCCAGAAGGCAGAACTCAGAGATATGGGTGAAAGTTGCAAAGAGGCATATCTAGACTTGAAACAGGAAATATTTCTTAACAATTAGAGCCATCTGGATCTTCCTGTTAAGATAACAATGTGAAAGGCCATAATCCAACACTCCCAATGAATACTACAGCAAAGATTCAAAATGGCACCACATGTGGTAATGGTAAAGAAGACTAAAGAGAAATACCAGTAAGTTCCTCCTTCCAGTTCAGGAGTGCATAAGGTGGGTGGAAGGGGTGACATGCTGATAAATTGGGTCTGAAGACAATGGGATCTTTGCCCTGGCCTACTAGAGCTGAAGCAGGGAAAGGAGCTAGCCCAAGGTGGGTCATTGCTCAGGAAGAGTACGAGAGGCAATGCTGGTAAGCCTAAGGCCTTTCCAGGAGATCTAAAACCAACTCCTTTTAGAGCCACAACAGGAGACAGCACAGTGTACGGAGGACTGAATATAACATGATCCCTGCCACATATCAGGTACCTAATCAGGGGCTTTGGGGGTCACATGGGGGAAGGAGCTACTCCTACTTAGGGAATATGAAAGGAGAAGGAGTCAGTATCAGTATGATAGAAATGGAGATGGAAGTCAGGGTTTGTGTCAGAGGATGGAACCTATTCCAGCTAACTCATCCCAATATTCAATTGCAATAGTTTCTAGATTATTGGGGACAGGACTAAATAGGATACGTGAGAAAGGGGATAACCTGGTCCTGAAATAATCCAGAAACTGAAACTGGAGATATGTGGGGGTGGGGGAAGTGCTCTGAAAAGAATGAATAATCATTATGGGTGAAGAGAAGCCCAACAGATTCACACAGAAGAGAGTAACTCTGTGTTAAGTACTAGTAGAGCTTCAGAGAAATAAACGACTTGGCTACAAGGATTCTAAGATTGCCATGAAGAAAGAACATCAAATTGAAAGAATATGTTACAATAAAAGCAAATCACCCAGAAAACAGGTTGAGGAGAGGTAGTATAACAATCAACGTACTCTCTGAATACTACAAACAAAGGAAAAGCTATATATTGTATTTAAGAAATAATACAAAAAATACCTTCCCAGATATGTTAGGACCAATGCACAATGTCAAAACCTCCTGATAGAACTTTCAAAATGAAAGCACCTAAGAATGTCATAGCCTAAGTCCAGAGCTTCCAGGTCAAACAAAATACACTGCAAGTAGCCAGAGAGTTCAAGTTCCAAAGAACCACAGTCACAAACACATACGAGTATAAAATAAAAAGGCTAATAAACTTTGTAACACTAAGTATAATCCTACAGGGAATAAATGCGTAGACTATAGATGTATAGAATGTACATGGGTATTACATTTTATAATGTGTGGAATATGAATGTAGAGAATATACATGTGTAAAATAATAGAATTAACTTTCAGGCATTCCTGATGAAAAATGTCAGCACTCAGAAATGCAAACAGTAGAAACCTAGATGCTAAAGACATTTGAAAGTACAAGTGATTAAATGATGGTAAGGTGCTTGCATTCTAATACGGAGGGAGACAAGTGTCACTTCACGCTCTTTAAGAGTCACAGAGGGAGTAAAGAAAAAGTGTAAAGTAGTTATGTTCTTCTTGATGTTGATTTTAAGAGGAAAGAAAAGGGGAGGGGACTTTACTAGAGTAGAAATGAGGAAGCAGGAGTAAAAAGGAACTCACTATTTCTTATAATTGTGGTATACTAGAAGAAGAAAATCTAAATTCTAAACATAGAGAATAGGGTGGGAGGAGGAGGTGCCTCATGATTCTGATTGTTATCTTAACCAGATAACAGAGGGTTGAATAATCACATCTTTTCACATAGAAATTTGGCATGGAAATACATTGAATTCTGTAGGGAAACAAATAGAAGCAGAAAAAAGAGAGCAAGGTTTAAGAGGAAGGATAAGGAAGTAAATAGTCACACTGATTTTTCAGAGTGTCTGTTTTTGTGTTTAGTTATTTTTTTATTTGTTGGTTATTAAGTTGTTGTATGTCCAATTCATCAATTTGTTCTTTCTCTCTTTTAGTAGTGAAAATACAGCTTTTGGTGATTCAGACTGCTTTGGCTGCATAAATTTTTATATACTGTCTTATTGATGTCATTTTCTTTGATAAAATTTACCTAATCTTTAGGATTTTGTTATTTAGTCTCCATTTTAGCTTGAGCCTTTTATTTAAATGCCCTTTTTGATTATTATTATTTTTATTGCATCATGATCTATAAAGAATGTGTTTACATTTTTCTTCTTTTCTTTATGAAGTTTTAATACCTTAGTATATGGCCAATTTTTTGCAAAGGTACCATGTAGAGCTAAGCAATATGTATGCTCTCTTATATTTCTATTCAGCAGTTTCCAGAGATCTAGCATATGTAATTTTTCTAAAACTCTATTCAAGTCCTTAGCCTTTCTCTTGTTTATCTTTTTGTTTAATTTGTATACATCTAAGGGACACATGATGTCCCAATTATTACAGTTTAGCTATTTCTCCTTTAAAAACTTAGCTGTTACGCCATTCAGTGCATATATATTGAAGGTTGATATATTTTATTATTTATGATGCCTTTAAGTATAATATCATTTTCCTGCTTATTTATTTTAATCATACTTATTTTTATTGTTGCTGTGAGTGAGATTTTTATTGCCATCCCCACTTTTTTACTTCATCTGAGGCATAATAAATCCTGCTACAACCCATCATTTTAACTCTCTATGAATCTTTACATTTCATATGTTTTTCTTGGAAACAACATATTGCTGTATTCTATTTTTTAATGCATTCTGCTACCCTACTCTCTTTGTGGGTGAGTATATCCCTTTAATATTCATTATGATTGTTAATTATGCTTTTTCATCCATTTCATATTCTTTGAATTTTTCCTTTCCTATCTCTTTTCAAGGAAGATGTCAAGGGGAAAAAAAAGGGAATGTGATCACCACCAGTAATCTATAATTGAAGTGGTATAATCCCTCTGCTCTGACCTTTCTCTCTTCACTCAGCCCAGATAAACTTACTGGTTGTACTTTCTCTACTTTTAATACCTCCTTTATGATTCATCCTCTGCAGATGAAATTTGCTTTGATTATGACTATTCCCTTGCCAACTCTAATGTTCCGTATTCTCTCTCTCTCTCTCTCTCTCTCTCTCTCTCTCTCTCTCTCTCTCTCTCTCTCTCTCTCTCTCTCTCTCTCTCTCTCCTTTTCCTGTTCCTGTTTGTTTCCCTTCTGAATTGAATATATTTAAATGCCAAATTTCTATACCAAAACATGTAAGTGTTCAATCCTCCTAGTTATCTGGTTAATGTAACAATCAGAATCATGAGTCACCTGCTCTCCCACCCCATCCTCTATGTTCAGATACTCTTCTTCTGAAATAGTAAGTTCCTTCTTACTCCTGCTTCTTCATTCCTACTCTAGTAGAGTCCCCTCCCCTTTTCTTTACTCTCTTAAAACCAACATCAAAAAGAACATAACCACTCTACACCTTATGTTTGTCTTTCTTTATTCCCTTTATGACTCTTAAAGAGAATGAAGGAACATCTCTCTCTTTCTCTCTGTCTCTCTCTCTGTCTCTCTCTGTCTCTCTCCATCTCTCTCTTTCTCTCACTAGAATGCAAGCACCTTATCATCATTTTGAAGTTTCAAATATATTTACCATCTAGGTTTCTACTGTTTGTATTTCCAAGGTTCTGTCCAACTCTGACATTTTTTATCAGAAATGCTTGAAAGTTAATTCAATTATTTTACACATGTATATTCTCTACATCTACATTATAAAATGTAATATCCATGTGTATCTGTATGTATATATTCTATTATTTATTCCCCTGTAGAATTAATGTTAGTTTTGCAAAGTTTATTAGCCTTTTTTCTTTTATAATCTCATGTGACTGTAACTGTGGCTCCTTGGAACTTGAACTCTTTCTGGCTATTTGAAATGTATTTTGTTGGAACTGCAAGCTCTGGACTTAGGCTATTACATTCTTAGGTGCTTTCATTTTGAGGGTTCTATCAAGAGGTAACTGGTGGATTGATCCTTTCGGTTTTGACTTTGTCCTTTGGTTCTAACAGATCTGGCAAATTTTTGTTTGTATGATTTATTAAATACAGCATTCACATTTTTATTTGTTTGTAATATTCAGGGAGCATTGATTATTAAATTATCTCTCCTCAACTTGTTTTCCAGATAATTAGATTTTATTGTAACATTTCTTCTAATTTTATATTCTTTCTTCCAGGCAATTTTAGAATTCTTGTAGCCAAGGTTTTCTTTTCACTGAAACTCTACTTGTGCTTAACATAGAGTTACTCTCTTCCGTGTTTATCTCTTGGGCTTCTCTTTATCCACAATAAATATTCTTTGCAGAGGGTCTTTTTTAAAATATTTCAATTTTTATATTGTCTACTGTGATGGAAGCTATGGGTATTTGCTAAAGAGAGAGTGTTGGAAGAAGAGGTTGAGATCATCAAATAATTCAATTAATACATCACTGGGCCTATGATTTAATTGTGACTAATACTCTTCAATATGTAATGAAATTCCCCCCCCCAAAAAAAGCAACCACAAAACTTCACCTACTTGAAATAGCATAATATACTGGCAAGATCACCAATTTGACAATCAGTATACCTGTGGTCCAGGCATGGTCCTGCCACTAATCAACTATTTGATCCCAGGCAAGCCACTTTTTCTCTCTTGGTCTCAGTTTCCTCATCTTTAAAATGTAAGTGTTGAACTAGATAACATGGAACTAGATAACATGGAAGGTCCCTGGAAGAGGTGAACAATATACATTTTCATTATTTTACAATTCAGCAGTTTGTCTAAGATTGGTTCAATTTACCCCCACCTCCTGCATAATACCCTATGTCGTAACCTCTCTCTTTTTTTCCTGCTGTAGGTGGAATTCAGTGTTGTCAATTCTATTACAGAGTTGCTGTTCCTTCAGGAAGACAGGAGAAATGTCATCTCCCAAGGAGAAGAGCTTCCAATGAGACACAGGGATAGCAACATAATCAAGAGGTGGGGATATTCTTAGCAATGCCAAAACTTTGTTCTAGATCAGAATTGTGTGTCCAAAAGTTGACTTTGCTTTGGTATTGTTCTTTTATTGTCTATAAGCATTCAGGTCTATCCGATGGCCTTACATAATGCATGATTGTACACCATGCCTCATGCATACATAGTCTTTCTATAGTTTTCTTCTTGGACTTTTGCTACTGGAAACAGCCTTCTTCCCTTTGTCTGGAAAGCTTACATGTATGCAAACAGAAAGCATCCATCCCTTATTGCTTCCTGCCACTATATCTGTTATTTCCATCCACTGTGGAAACAACAATCTTCCACACTTTCTGGTTTTAATTTATTCTTCACTAAGTCTTGGAAGCATTGCACATATCCCATACCATTGGCCTACATATGCTTCCCTTCCTGGCAATGACTTGAGCAGCCCTGTGACCCTACATTTTCAGCCTAGCCAATATCAAACCAAGCGAACACAGCTCAGATGTCTACTGAGCCATAGTGCATCCAACTCATTAGTGAGAGACTTTGCCCTGCCACTAGATATGGAACACTAGCCAGGAATGTCACAAAGAAATGTGACATTGAAAGCAGGTCTCAACAGATTGGACCATAGCTTCAGACTTAATTGTTCTGAAATTTTATTCCACCACAGAGCCAGACCCTGCCTGACCATCTGCCAAATAATACATTGCTTTTGTTGACGGGGCTTCTGACTTTGAGCTGCTGCCTATTAATGAGGGAGCACAATCTCCAAAGGTCTCTGCACTGCTATTCTCCATTCTCTGTTCCACACACAATAGCACCTTCTTTCCATTTTAATTGCAGAGCACAGAAAGTGGCAGGGGAACAAAGCATTCACATATTAGTGTTCAGTTCAGAGTACCTAATACATGCAAATGCTTTAGGCATTTTTAAAGGATAGTTTACCTTCTTGGCACATCTGGTCAATATTATCTCAGGGAAAAAAAAGCAGCTTAGAGTCTAATACTATCCCCTTTCTCCCCACCCTCTCTATTTTCAGAAACATCATCCTTTGAATCTATAAGTGTGTTTTTAAAAAACAAAAAGCCAGTGAACTGAAAGGAATGATGTTCAGAAGCTGGAATGTAATGAGAGAGGTTAATGTGCAGAAATTGACTCCAAAGAAAGGCTTTTTCCTCCCAGGATACATTTATCTTTCATTTTGAGTGAACTTTTGTGAGAGTAGTGAATATGTACAGGTGCACCAAATACATCTCTGATTTGTACCAGCTGCCCCTCATACCATGCAAGACTGAATTACAGGGCTGCCAAGACAATCTCTGATACAACTGTCCTCCCATTTTTCCAAGTGAAAAATACCACATAGATTCTCTGACCCCTTTTCTAGTGATATCTATGCCTCAGTCAATTGTAGCGTGTTGGGTATCTTTTCTTGCATTTAGATTCTGACCTTTGAAGACATTAGATTTTAGATCTTAGATCTTAGAGATCTTAGAGAATCAGAATCACTGAGAAGTAAGAGACCTCAATGGCCATCTAGTCCAACCCCTACACAAGTGGGATATCTACTACATCTCACCCTATGAGTGGTCATCTATTCTAAGTGTAAAAACCTCCAAGGATGGGGAACCTCTCACCTTTCTAGAAAGCCCATTCCATTTTTGGACAGCTCTAATTGTTGGAAAGTTTTGCAGACAGCAAATCTAAATTGCTTTCTTTACAACTTCAGCAACCCCATTGCTCTGGCTCTACCCTCTGAGGTCAAACAGAACAAACCTCATCTATAGCTATACACACTATAGCTCTTGAATATTTTAGCATATTTATTGGGTTCCCACTGAGTCCTTTCTTCTCCAGGCTAATCATGCCCAATTCCTCAACTGATAACTTGCATGGCATATACTCAAGGCTTTCATCTCCTGGTTACCTTCTTCCGAACCCTCTCCAGCTTTCAATGTCTACTTCAACTTTGGTGTCTTGTATGGTCATGCCTCTTCTATCTTACACTTATGGAATTGATGTTTTTGTACTCAGTTCTAAAACTTTTCATTTATCCCTATTGAATTTCACCTTATCAAATTCATCCCAGTACTCTCACCTGTCAAGATATTTTTGGATCCTGACTGTGTCAGTTATTCCTCCCAAATCTGTGTCATCTGCAAATTGATGAGCATACTACCTATGCCTTTACCAAGTCATCCATAACAATGTTATACAGCTCACAGCCAAGCAAAGGTCTTCCCTGGAGACCTCCCTTCCGTGTTGACAATGGAATATTAACAACTACTGTTTGAGACTGGTCATCTAGCCAGTTTTGGATCCATCTGATTGAATTATCATCTAATCCGTATCTCTTCATTTCCATAAGAACAACATGAGATGTCTTATCAAAAGCTTTGCTAAATTCAAGATTAACAATATCCACAGGACTCTTTTCATCTATTAGTTTAGTAATCCTGTCAAAAACAGAAGTAAAGTTAATCTCAATGATGAAGCTGGCTCTTTGTAATCACCTTTTTCCTTTCCAAGCTACTTGCTGATCACCTCTGTTCACCAACCATCTTAATAATCCATTCCAGAATTTCCCCAAGAATTGAAGTCAAGCTTGATGTCCTGTGGTTTTCAGACTCTGTTCCCTTCCCCTTCATCTTTTTTTTTAATTGGAATATTTAACCTTCTTCAGTTTGGTAGTAGTTCTCCCCTTTCCCATGATCACTTAAATATTAATGATAATGGCACATAAATCACATGTTCTATTTTCCTTTTCTTGTCAGGTGGTCTCCAGTGACGAAATCACTTCTTTTTCTCTAACCTTTGACCTTCAACCAAATACTCTCTATCTGGACTCCTCCCTCTGCTTCCTGAATTTCCTTACATGGATACGCTTTCTTAATATGCAAGGATACCAAAGTCCACCCCTCTCCTCTTACTTAATCTGTTTCTTTTGAATAAGGTATACCTATGCAGAGTCATGGTCTAATCATGGGCTTCATCCCACCAAATCTTAGTTATAAAGTCTAATTTGTTTTCTTGTATTAGGACCTCTAGTTCTCTTGGCTATTGTCTAAACTCTGGCCATTTATATACCTACATTTGAAGCCATGATTTTACTTCTGGCTCTTTTCTTGTATTTTGTCTCCTATGAATTTTCTGAATATCCCCTCAGCTATTCTTTTTCCTTCTTTGTGGCTACTCACTGTGGAATTTAACTTGGGACATATACACGGGCTTCCTTCCCCACACTTAAATTCCTTTTGGTTAGATTGGCATGATACCTGGCAAATGCATTCTTTCCAACTTTTGTTAGGTGTACTTAGTCTCTGGATAGGAATCTGCCAACCCTGCATCATGATCTGAAAATCCAAAGTCCATTCTCAGACACTACTTTCTTATTTGGCTGTTCACTTACCAAACTGATGCATTTTTTTTCCTACTGTGTATCTCTTTCCTTCAACGGGCAATAAGTATGATAACAACCTGTACCCTTATGGCCTTTAGTTTTTGCTCAATTTTTATAGCTATTGACAATATTTTTAACCTCCTTCTTAAAGTGTGATTTGCTCACATAAGAATCACCAGAACTGATTCTCTATTTTATACTGGATACAATCCCCCCAGGAAGAGAATAATCCTCTCTGTTATTGTTATCAATTTAATACATAGCTGCCTCAGTACCCAGCAAGGCATAGAAGCTACTGCTACTCTCTTCTAACCCTTATTGGATGACTTTTCAATGGCAATATTATGTTATTCTTTGGAGGATAAGCAGCTTCTTATTTCTCAGAGCAACTAGCTCTCTCTTCCTCAGGAAGAGGCTCAGATCTACTGTTGAGATCTAAATGTCCAGGTGTCCTTTCCTTTCACTTTCTCCCACGTGTTAGACTCTTCCACTCTCTTTCATGACCTGATCATAGGAGAGAAATTATATTCCATCATCTCTGATCCCCTCCGCCTGAGCTGCCTAATGTGCTGAAAGGATACCACCCTGAGGCCAAATCCCTAGTGATGTTTTAAAAACCTCTTGAACTCATTTAGCAATAATGAACAAAGTTCCTTAAACTGCTGGCTGTCTTTATATGCATCCTGTTCTCCACCCTCCACTGTTCACTCTCTTAGTCTCATCTCCCTCAACACAACTTCCCCCAATGTTATACTGTAAAACTGCCCACCCCTTCCACTGTACTCTGAAATATGTGCTAACATAAACATTTACATGACAAATTTGCTTTAGGCTTAAATCATTTCCTTTCTCACTCTTTTCATCTTGTGGCTGTCACTGAGAACCAGCTCCTCCCTGATGAGACAGCCTCCCTGGGTAACCCTTTCTGGCACTGATTGTACTTTGCCTCATTTCCCCAATTCACTGGTTGAGGTAGGGGAAAGTTAGAATACTGCCCATTGTTATGTCCAACCTTTACCTCTACCTCCATCACTCAGTAACCTCTCTTCCCTTGAGGTTCAGTTAATCTATATCTACCATCCAATCAACATTCTGGTAGTTATTGTCTCCCAACTTCCAAGACGCTCCCCTTTTTTCCTTGGTGAATTCAGTGCCTAGCTCAAACTTTCTCTCCTCCTCAATTCCTACCCTCATGTTAGCTGACTTCAATAAAAATATTTCTTTTCACTCTGTTTTTACTGTCTCCAAAAGGTAGATCAACCTGTACTTTGAACACAGATGACAGTCACTTATTTGGCTATAGAACAGATACAAACATCTCATATGTGTTGCAAGTCATTGCAATAATTAGGTGATGAAGTAGATGTAGTGCTGGGCCTAGAGTTAGGAAGACTGAGTTCTTCTAACCTCAGATACTTATTAGCTGTGTGATCCTGGGCAAGTCACTTCACCTTGTCTGCCTTAGTTTCCTCATCTGTAAAACTAGCCGAAGAAAGAAATGGCAAACCACTCCAGTATTCTTGTCCAGAAAACCTCAAACAGGGTCATGAAGTTGGATGTGACTGAACAACAACAACTCCATGATGGTTGAGATTTTCAAGTCTCATTTCTTTGAAATATTTTTGAGGGTTTACTCAGCCTTAGGCTTACAACCCTAATCACCTGGTTAAAACTTTCATCACCTCTTAATAATTTGAGAATCCCAGTCAAATCCCTTTTCTTAAACTCAACAACATTGTCATTGTAACAGCAGCCACCAGCCTGTTTTATACCAATCTCCTATTTCCCCAATTTATCCCACCCACAAAATCACTCTTAATTTGCTTAACCTTAATTGGTCACTTGTGTTTTCTTCCTTCTCTTGGTCTCCTCAATTATATTTTACTTATCCTGCTTGAGTTTACCTCTTCAGGTTCTTCTCTCTAATCCTCCCATTGAGCCCCCTATATCCTTCTTAATCATTTTCTATGCTTGATCCTGCTTATGGAGTAGAAGCTAAATTAGTATCTGGGCCTGGAGATTACTCTTCATGCTTCATACTTTCCTCAATTTTTCCAAAAATTTACTGAATTCCTTCTCACCAAATTCAGCCTCTGACCTACTCCACTAGTACAAACACCTCTCAGTCATGATTTTCCTCTCTTTATTTGGATGCTGTGGGTCACATTGCCTTGGGAAATAAAAATAGTTTCTCATTTGCCTGGAAAGAAGAGGGGTTTTTACTCATCTTTTTTAAACCAAATATGTCTTGTTGGGTACCTTTCATTCATTAATAAGCATTTACTAGGCACCTACTATGTATCAGGCATTAGGCTAAGCTTTGAATATCATTTCTTTTAACATATTGCCATATTTTTTGTTAATGCTAAAATGAGGCTGCAATTATGTTAGTTCGAATGTAAAAGATTTCTATTTCTTGGGTTGGAGACTTTAAAGTTATAAAAGTTCTTAAGATAATATCTGTTTATAAAACACGCTTCAAACCTTATATATAGACCAATAATTAATATAGATATAACTAATATAAATAAACCTTCTTTATTTTACAGATCAGAAAACAGAGACCCCAAGAAATAAAAGTCTCAGTTCTTACAACTGGAAAATGAAAGAGCTGGCCCAGATCTAACTGAGAGTCTCTTCCACCTCAAAGGTACTATGATTCTAAGTGACTTGTCTAAGGAGACTGTGTCTTTTAAAGGCAGATTTGGAGCTAGATTCCAATGATTATATAGTGTAATGGAAAGAAAGTTGGATTTAGAATCAAAAGATCTGTATTTGATTCCCAGCTCTGCCAACATGGTAGTCTTTCAAATATTTGAAGTCAGTTATTATGTCCTTACCTGAGCATGCTTTAAGTGAAACATCTCTAATTCTATCAACAAAACTTTATAAGGCATGAATTTAAAGTCTTTTGCCATCCTATTGCTCTCCTGTAGACACCCTTCAGCTTAGCAATATTTTTTTCCCAAAATTTAAACTCTAGAACTAAGCCCATTACTCAAGAGTGTGCTGGAGTCAACTTGAACCAACTTGTGAGAGCTGATTGTTAAATTTTCAGTGTGAGTATTTATACCTCAGAAGTTGGCACTACAACTTAGGGCTTGATTTATTGTTTTGTTCATGTATAGGCTTTTAAAAGTGTTAATAATACAGATTAAACTTTATGTATATATACTTTTCCCCCTCAAGAGCCCTGTTGTTAAATATTTACCAATATATCCTTTCAAGTATTCCACATGAGTTCAAATATAAGGAGACTATCACTTCCTTATTTTAAGAAGTAGTGCTTCTGTTAATACAGTCTAAGGTCCCATAGCTTTTCTGACTTTCATAACTGCTATGGCTCATAATGAGCTTACAATATATCCAAATCACCAAAGCTTATTCAGATGAGTGACTATCTAATTATGCCTTCCCCATCACCTACATGAGGTCAATAAATGAATTTCACAAGCATTAAGACTGCACTTAGCCCTACTGAACTTCATCTTATTTTATTTATGGATTGTGAAAATGGATCACTTGTGGGAGAAGATGGACTGAAGAGTATAACCACCTAGCTCTATATGGGGCTAAGGTGGAGTAGAAGTCATGGGAATTAAAAGGTTGACAAACTGAGAACTAAAGGTGATCAGGACAACTTTCAGTCTTTAAATTGACATCCCAGAGTTTAAAGGACAATTCTTTTTGTGTTCCTTCTAGCAGTACCCTTTGCACCCAGTGAATCACCAGAAGTAGGTAGCATAGTTTGGACAAGTCTTAGGAGGTTCTCTGCTATGTCTTGGTATTTTTGCTGCTTTTGTTTGCCCTTCACTTTTTGAAAAGAATTAATGACCTCATGAGAATGATGTCTTGACTTGCATGTGAACTAATTTAAGTGAGGCAGAATTGCACAGTCATCAGCCGCATCCCTTCCAGTGTCACTGAAGTCTAGCGGCCAGACTAAAGTCTGATGGCCCAGTATGCAGTGGATGACCTTGGTGTCTTCTCTGTCTGACCAAGCTCTAAGCACTCCACAGTGCCTATTTCAGCCACCACTGGAACAGATTATTCTCACCTGCCCATTCTGCTGGGGGAAGTCTTCACATACTTGAGGTAGACATCTCTCTGACATATGGGTTTGAGGCCTATTGGTTACCCTCCACCTGGTTTAGCCTGTCAGCTGAGATGGTTTTATTGGAGTATGGCCACTGCAAATACTATGGCTTCTTGGGAACAAAGGTGAGAATTGGGTGAAGGTGGACACCAAAGGTGGATGAGCAACCCTGAAAAGGGCTCAGCAAGCCCTGTCACCAGAGATGCTAATCCTCCTTGAACACCCTATAAACCCTATGATTTGGGTACATGCCCCAGGGAAACAACACACTTCTGTTGTGATCAGGTTGACAAATAGCTGCAACTAGGGTTTAACTAGTAAATTTTTAACAGTTAGCCCTCTGGGGGTAAAATGTATGCACCACAAACTTCTAAATTTAATCTGCATTATTTGCATTTCCCCCTCACTTTCTTCAGTCTAAACAATCAACAAAACAATAAATCCAGCCTTGACTTGTAGCATTTGCTCTTTTTTCTGATTTACATTTGAAAAATTAACAATTGACTTTCCAGAAGAGCTTCAAGGTAGCCCTGGCACATTCCTGGCTGCAAAGGTAACCCTCCTCCAAAGGGTTTGTCAGTCATCCTCATCCTCTTGGCTTACAAGGTACCTCATTTGACAGCATCTTCAGATCTATACCATCCTTCCTTGGAGGACAAACAGCTGCTTCCTACTTACAGCATTCAATTGCCTCTTTTTTTTTTTAATCAAGAACCTCAGATTTGTTTCTTAGCTCCAAGTGTTCAGCATCCTTCCTCCTTATGCTGGTCTTCCTTGCGTCCTTCAACTCACCAGCATAGGTCATGATGCCCTGATTCTGCGACTCCTCTGTCTTCTTTATTTCTCCTCTGAAGAATTTTCAGTTTTTGAAGGAACACTTCCTTGTTCCTAAAAAGCTGGACTGAAGAGAGCTTCTCCTTGAGCCCATTCACTTTTTATTTAAGAGGTAGACCAGGGGGCAGATTGTGAATTAGTAATAGGTACTCGGCCTTGGCAGAAATACAAACATTGCATGAGCAATGCAAGTTACTAAAAAATTTCCCCTTCTCTCTATTCCTCCTGTTGTTCATATACTCTTTTGTCACCTTCTGACCCCTTTGCAAATGAATTGCCTTCTAATATTCCCATTGATTAGTTCAGTGTCTGACATATAGCATGTGTTTTTATACATTCTTATTGACCAACTGTCTTCTAACCCTTAAATTTTGTGACTTGGAGGAAGTTACTTCAGCTATCTGGCTCTTAGTTTCCTCTTCTGCAGAATAAAAGCATCTGATGCTGCATCTGGTTTCAACTCCATGCAAACAATAATCTAATCCCCCCCCAACTTCAAGCCTTGACTGACACCACCTCCCACACCCTTCTCTCCCCTCTGATTGGAACACTGGAGGGGGAGTACTCAGTTCCATTCAATGCCTACCTTTATAATGATAAGAAACCGGGCTTGCTCACTCCCCTCTACATTTCCTTCCCTACCTGGTTTCAACTCCACTGAAAAAGATTCTATACCTCCAACCCCTCTCCAACCTTACCAGGTACGCTTAGTGTCCTCTACCTCTTGCTTTCCTTCATCCTTTTGTGTGTTGTCTCCCTCTGTTAGATAGTGAGCTCTTTGACAGCAGGGACTATCTTTCTTTTTATTAGTTGCATCCCCAACACTTAGAACACTGCCAGGCACATGTTAGGTGCTTAATAAATATTTATTGGATTGGATTGGACTAACCAACCTCTAAAGTGTTTTCCAAGGCTAACCCATTTTATTGACCAATAAGTGAGGGTAAGAAGAAAAAATGATTTGTTTTATATGAAAAACAAATTATTTCTTTGTTGGGAACCAACCCAGACAGGTGAGAATGGAGAGTGATAAATGGCATGTGTATCCTCAATGAGATTTTTATTTTTAAGTAAGAGCTTTTAAACCTAAAAGGAAAACTGGCAAAAAAGCTTCTAATTAAACAAACTGCATCAAGGTCTTAAGAAAAATGTAATTTCTGCTCAGTGACTGACGAAATCTTCCTGTAGCATACTTAAACACTTCCCCAACTCTAGATTTCACTTTGGCAGAGCTGATCAGGCTTGTAAATCAAAAGCACTATTCATTGACTTGTCATTCAGAGCTGCTTCCTGCTGTCATCAAAAGTCATCTTTATGCTGGGGTAGATCTAGTCTGATGCTATATAGATCTGATATCCTATGCTGTAAAAAATTGGGGGCGGGGGAGCAGGGAGGAGCTTAATTCCTTGCCATCTGCATCTCTGTTGGTAAAATGAGCCTAAGCCTGGACAGGATGGTGTGCAGCAAGGATGAGAAGTTTGCTAATGACATGACACGTTTACATGCTTTTCAGTCTACATATTTTGTCACAATTTTTGTTAATAGGTATGGCCATGTACTTATTATCTTTTTGAGAGAAGGATGGAGCACGCCTGTGATCTCATCAGGGTAGAGAACTCCTGGGGAGGAAACTTTTTCCACCAAAGCACGGGGGCAATCTATCTTTAAATTCTAGTCTTAAAGAGTTGCCTGGGTCAGAGAATTTAAGGGACTTGTCCAGGGTTATACAGACAAACTGTGTCAGGGGTAGGATTTGAGCCTGTGTCTTCTAGATTCTAGTGCTGGCTCTCTGTTGTGTGTGCTCTAGTCTCCAATGATGAGGAAACTGAAGGTCAGACAAGTGAAATAAATGACTTGTCCACAGTCATGTAAAAGTAAGTGGCTGAGGGGCATCTAGGTGGCGTAGTGGATAGAGTACCAGCCCTAGAGTCAAGAAGACCTGAGCTCAAATCCAGCCTCAGGCACTTACTAGTTGTGTGACCCTGGGCAAGTCACTTAGCCCTAGTTTTCTCCCCTCCCCCAAAAAAAGTAAGTGACTGAGCTGGGGAGTCAGATTTAGATCTTCTGACTCTGAGCTCCCTGACCTTCCCACTATGCCAGACTTTGCTGTCTCGTTAGTCCAGGTAGTCACATACTGTGTTGCCAAAGCATTCTACTTTCTGGTCCTTTGAACTGCACTCATTTTTAAGGACTACAATAATGGGTTCTATTTATGGAGTGTGCTAGAGTTACAGGAAGGCTTGTGCAGTAGCATACTATTCTCATGTGGCTCACATAACAGTTCTAGGAGGTAGGCGACATTCCTGGACAGGAAGCGAGACATACTGGAAAGGCTTTCGGATGTGGCGGAGACTTAGATCTGAATCCTGTCTTTGGCATTCACTAGCTGGATAACCAGCCAAATCACGTCACCCTCTGAACTTTGGTTTCCTCCTCTGCAAAACAGGGATTAGAAATAACGGCAGGACCTATTTCACAGGAATATTGTGAAGTGCAAATGTTATATAAACACAGAGCGATCTGTAGAACTCAAAAGCCTGTGAAAATATATGCATTATTATAACCCCATTTTACAGATGAACCTACCTGAGGCTCTCTGAGGAGAAATTGTTGCACTTAACCAATTGCAACAATTTTTATTTGTCAAATTTATCAAGTACCTACTGTGTGTAAGGCACATAGCATAGAGGTAGCTTGGTGTGTTGGATAGAAGACTGGCTTTGGATCCAAGAAGATCTGGGTACCAGACCTGTCTTTTGACACTCAATGGCTGTGGAACTACAGGCAAGTCATTTAACCTGTCAGGGCTCTGGTTCGAGTGTCTGACTGTAACACTATAAGCTGCAAATATAGCAAGACCTTTTACAAACATTATTTACTTCAAAAGGTATCATCACAAATATAGAAACTTACTTCCCCAACAAATGGGAGGTATAGTCTTCCTTCTGCCTCTATGTCACCTGAGTCCCTAGGGAGAAGAAGGAGATTAGATTCATAGTTTAGCTCAGGTTCCATAAAGCATAGTACCAGTTCCAAGCCCACCCCCTACCCCAGGGCTAAAGCCCTAGGCACCTTGGTTTCTTCTATGCAGACCTAGCTGGCTACACCGTCCAATCCTGTTTCCAAAGTTACCAACACTTGAATTCCCTGATTTCCAGCAGATCACCTTGGCACTAAAACTGAGGGCAAACCACACAACACAGAAACAAACATTCCCAAGCTCATTTCTCTGAGCCACAAGTCCCTTCCCTCTTATTTTTCAGCTCTTCAGTTCTATGATAAGAGCAATTGTTTCTATGACCAGTTTTAAAGACACAGACAGCCAATCCAGGAGACAACCCTACCCACATTCTATGGGGCACCATGTTAGCCATACTGGGCATGCTCAAAAGGTTAGCCTGGGTTACACAGAGAAGGTGCTTACTTGAATAGGTAAAGGGACCTTCCTTATCTAGACCAATGAAATCACAGGTCAAATCTCTATTCCTCCTCAATACAGTATGCCAGACACTACAAAACAAAGGCAAAAGTGAAAGTCTCTGCCCTGTAGGTGCTGACATTTTATAAGGGAGACAACACATGTTCACATATGCATAATACATAAAAAATAAATTCAAGCTTATTTGGGGGCAAAGTCGGAGGAGAGGCACTACCTCCTGGGAATGATCGCACATAGAAGATGCTACTTGAGATGAACTCAGAAAACTCAGGATTTGAGAAGAAGGTGGGGACAAAGTGCATTCTAAGCATGTGGGACAGCCCTGGAAGGATAAGAAAACAGGAAAAGGAATGGCAACAAGAAGGCCAGTTTGGTAAGCAATGTGTGAAAAGAAATTATATAATCATATACATATATATATATATATATACATACACATATACACACATACCTATATGCACACATATGTACTTATGCATATATGTATGTACATGTGTGTCTGTATTTACACACATGTGTGTATGTATATGTATATGTGTGTATATATACATATGTATGTATATGTATATGTGTGTATATATACATACATATATATACATATATGTGTATATATATATGTATATATATACATATATATATATATATACATATATATATATATATATATATATATATATATATATATATATATATATACAGTTGTCTGTTCCACATCATGACTTTGCCCATCATGGGTTTCAATATATGGCAGGTCAGTGTAAGAAATTAAATGGAAATTTTGGGAGAGTTTTGTGGAAGCTGTAGACAACACACAGAGGCCAGCAGACAATTTAGAAAAAATTTAGATACTTAGAAATACATGATATATGTATAGCATTGTACAATATCAACATATTTTATCATTTAATACCATAATAATTAAGACTTCTTCTCTGGTACATAGGGAGGGACAAAAAATTTTATGCAGATTTTCTAGATCTAGGGAGCACCCCTGGATCCCCTAAACCCCATGACGTGGAAGGGGTAACTGTAGTTGTCATTGTTCAGTCACTTCCGTCATGTCTGACTCTTCATGAACCCATTGGGGGCTTTCTTGGCAAAGGTACTGAAGTGGCTTGCCATTTCCTCCCCCAGTTCATTTTACAGATGAGGAAATTGAGGTGAACAATTAAGTGCCCAGGGTCACACAGCTACTAAGTGTCTGAGGATAACCTCACTTCCAGACCTGTCCTCTTTCTACTACCATACAGCTTGTTGTCAAATATGTGACATGAAGATGAAGAACTAGGAAGTCTGAGTATATTGTATTCTAAAGAATTCATTCTCTACAAAAAAAAAACAAGATTCCTAATGATCCCTGGCCCAGTATGTTAAATTCTGGGATCTCCCCCCCAAAAAAAATTACAATAGAACCATTCATTGTGTTCACTAAGCTTTCACATTTATAGTTATGACTGGTTTCTGCATCGAATTTTCTGGAGAATAGTAAATGAATTTGACTGTGGCAGGTAAATACCTCAGAGCACCTGGAAATGGTGTAAGTCTAACTGATATTATTCATTGGTTTCACCTGCACCAGCCTCTCAGAAATAAGGCTTTTTTTTTAAAATCAGTCAGGAGACAAGTTTCAAAATTTTGTTCTGAAAGCATTACCTTGACACTCTTGGAAAACAGTTATTTGTGGAAAAAAGAAGGAAAGAAGCATTTTTAAATGCCTGCTATGTGCCAGGAAGTATGCTCAGTGTTTTATAAATATTTCATTTGATCCTCACAACAACCTTGGGAGGTAGGTGCTATTTTTCTCTCCATTTCACAGTTGAGGGAAACTGAGGCAGACAGAGATTAAGTGATTGCTCATGTGTCTAAGGTCAGCCTTTCCTGACTCCAGGCCCAGGAATTTATCCATTGTGCCATCCAGCTGCTTCTGAAAATTATTAGAAACTCAAAAATGATCTTATCTCTAGGAATTAATGGATAGGACTGTGCACTAACTAAACTGCAGGAGATAGAATTTGCACCCTGAGGAGTAACAACATCTTGCTAAATGATGATGGAACAAGGGGAGGCTAAAGATCACTAGTCCTTGCTAATCAAGAGGCAGTCTCATACCCAGTGGAAACACTGCTGGACTGGAAGTTGGAATATTTGGCTCTGATTCCCGTAACTTGTGTCTCTATGTGTAAGTTTCCATTACCTCAATTCCTCCTCTATAAAATAGGAATGATAATACTTTAGTTTTCTACATTGTAGGATTCTTGAGAACAAAACACTGTATAAACCTTAAAAGTACCAAAGAATGGGAATTGCTATTGCTCAATGATCTTTATCAAGATTTCTGGGGCCAAACAACTGCTAATTCATATATCAATAACTGGTGCTTTACAAGTTTTCAGAGTTCTTTTACAGGCAGCCGAATTAGGGAGCAGAGCTATTGATATATACATTTTAAAAGTGAAGAAACTTGAAGTCAAAGATGGGTCAAATGGCTGGTCCAAAGTCACACAGCTAAAAAGTAAAGGCACCAGAAATAAAACCTAGATCTCTGGACTCTAGATCCCAGTGTTCTTTCCACTTACAGGACTCTCAGAGACCACTGAGTGCAGCCTTTGCCAGAACCAGAATCCCTGCCAAGAATTCTTGCCAACATAATCATCCAGCCTTCACGTGGACTTCAGGTGAGGGCAAGCCCACTACTCTCTAGACAGCCCATTCTGGCCTTTATTAGGGTTTTTTTGGCTACTATTCCTCATTACTGATTCATATTGAACTTCCATTAAAAAACTCTAGATTTTTTCAGACAAACTCCTGTCTAGCTGTACCTCCTCTCTCTTATGTCTGTTATATTTATATGTTTATATATTTATTATTTATATATTTATATTTGAAATTTTGACATAGAAATAAAATGTTTATATATTTATTAACATATATGTTACATTTTTTTGAACCAAGGTATAAAACTTTCCATTTTCCCCTCTTAAGCTTTCATTTTATTAGGTTCTACCCAAAGTTCTAGCCCATCAGGATCTTTTTGAATCCTGGCTCTGACCCCTAACATCTTTGCTATCTCTCCCAGTTTTGTGTCATTCGTTAAGTTGAAAATGTCATCTATTTCTTAATCTAAGTCATTGACAAAAATGGTAAACAGCATTGAGCTACAGACCTAATTTCAAAATGTCCACACACCATTCATTGGGTCCAGTCCTTCATGAATCTACCTAGTTACTGTTTCACAAAGTAGCATGAGAGACTCTGGCTATAACCCTAGCATTCTCTTCATCCTCCAGTTTATTAATCTGGGCAAAAAGGGTCAGGGAGGGGGCAGGGGGGTTGGAAATGATGTGTTCCTGATGAAATTCTTTGTGATTACTGCTTCTGTTTCTAGTCATATACTAATCAACCCTTTAATAACATGCTTTAGAATTTTTACCTGAACTCAAAGTTAAGTTCATTGGCCTGTATTTTCAAATTTAAATACTTTATCAATTTTGTTTCTACCTGAATTGTTCTTCAAACAAAAGTTCTCCACCATTCATTCTGTCCTATATTTCCTCACTTGAGTATATCTTTTTTAATATATAATACTTCTGTGCTTCCTCTGTTATTATTGAATATAGTACGCTCTTCTAGAGCCATATTCTAGTCACAGGTCCCATCCTTCCAAGTCTCAGTGATCAACTTATGATGATGTCAACTTGCTCCTTGGGTTAGGATCACTTATGATTTTATTTTTTTGAGTCTGAGACTTGTGCAGACTGGAAGTTCAATGGTAACTCATAGACCCAATCCCATTACTGCTCAGCATTGGAGCTTTGACCTGCTCTTTTTCTTAACTGGGCCAGTTGTCCCTCCTTAGGCACTCCCCATCCCTTTCTGGTGACTCAACATATCAGTATCTGACTTAGTGCCAATGCTCAGTCAGTTTTAGTTCTATTTCCACTCCGAACTTATAAGTTCAAGAGATCCCTCAGCTACAGCATTCTGGTAACAGGGATTAGAAGCTCATATCACCATACCTGGATGGGATCACTTTTTCTATTTCATAGAATCAGAGTCACAGAATTTCAAAGTCAAAAGGTATGTAAGATCCTATCTAGCCCAACCCATCCATGAACAAAGATCTCTACAACATATCTAAAAAGTGATCATCAAGCCTTTACCTGAAGACCTTTGGTAAAGGTAAACCCTCTACTATTCAAGGCAGTCCCTTCCACTTTTGGATAGCTCTAATTCTCCAAAGGTGCTTCCTTAGATCAAACCTAAATTTATCTCCACGACTTCTACCCATTGGTCATAGTGATGAGCTCTATAACTAAGAGGAACAAGCCTAATCCATCTTCCACAAGCCAACCATCAGCCCTGCTTCCCCTTAAGTGTTCCCTTCTCTGGGTTAACCATCCCCAGTTTCTGCAACCAGTCCTCTAGGGCATGATCCCAAGGCACTTTGTCATATTGGCTATCGTCCTCTGAACTGTCCTTCAGTTAGTTTCAAAGAATAATAGCTAATAGTAGCTAGCATTTATATAGCATTTTGTCATGCAAAGCCCTTTATAGGTTATCTCATTTGTTCCTAATCTATGTTACTACCCTATCTTCTAGTTCTCATATCTTCATCTTGTCTACAAGAATAGTATGAGACATTGTCAAATGCTTTGATAAAATTTAGATAGATATTTATAGCATTCTTTTCATTTACCAATTTAGTAACACTGTCCAAAAACAAAACAAAACAAAACAAAACCTCAAGAACAAAAAACAAAAAAGAAAATGGGATTGTTTTGTCGTGATCCCTGGCTTAAAGGGGAAAGGGAACAAATATTTATTAAGTAACTTACTATGTGTCAGACATTGCACTATGTGCTTTACAAATATTACTTCATTTAATTCTCACAACAACCCAGGGAGGTGAGTAGAATTATTATTCCCATTTTACAGTCAGACATCAATTATATTACTTGCCCAGGATCAAACAGCTAGTAAGTGTCTGAAGCTGGATTTGAAGTCCAGTCTTCCTGATTCCAGACCTGGTGCTCTAATCACTGTATCACCTAGCTGCCTCTAAACCTAGATGCTTAATTTAAGCATCTAGTATTCTCTCAGATGAGAAGGAAATGGCAAACCACTCCTGTATCTTTGCTAAGAAAACCCCATGGACAGAGTAGTTCACAGATTATGAAGAGATGGACATAACTGAAAGACTGAACAACAACAATTCTCTGACAGACAATATGGTCATACTTTACCTGCCTTGTTACCTATACTGTGCATGTTTTCATATAGACATTTGAATCCATGGGTCTTACTGTAGACTCCTTTCTTGGATTTTATTACCTATTCATTTCTGAGTGTTTCTTCTGCATGGTATCTGTCTTGATAGATATACATACATGCATACATACACACATACACATACATGCATACATACATGCATGCATACATACATGCATGCATACATACATGCATACATATGCAATTGCCTAGTACTCCACTGAGCAGTAAGTGTCTCTAGTTCCAGCCCAAGTTTTGGAGAACTCATGGCTATCACTGCAGCTAGGTGTATTCCAACTTCGACCAAGAACCCAGCAATCTTATATGTTAAGCCATGGTTCAAAAATCCAAATCCTGTTTTCAGGCTCCATCTTCTTAACCAGCTGTTCACTTCCAACATCTCCTGGCCTTTTCTGAAAGCCTGGCCTTCACCTAGCTGCAGTGATAGCCATGAGTTCTCCAAAACTTGGGCTGGAACTAGAGACACTTACTGCTCAGTGGAGCCTCATCCATACATATATTGGCTTTTTTGGAATTCTTACTTCCCTTTTTTGAGTCTTTCTGCATGGTAAGAAATTTTGTGCTTTTTGTTTCTGGCCTGAGTATCAGTGAAATCCTGTTTGTATAACTAGTATAGATCACTCTAATCTGAATGTAATAAAATCCCCTACTGGTTAAAGTACCTCATATGGATTTCAGAATCCAATCTAAACCCCCCCAACCCCACCCCCACCAGCCAGATCCCAACAAAGCCATAGTACTGAAGGTAGATGGAAAGGGTAGCATTGAACAATGTAGTCACAGGAATTTTTGTATGAGTCAGTTTCCTTGTTCTGGCTAACATTTGAATAGTGGCTGACCACAGTTAATAGCCAACATACACTTGGGACAAGAAGGCTTTTATTACTCACATTTTTCATTTCTGGCTTCAACACTGAATTTTCTGGAGCAAAATGCTAGTACTACCAACATTTCAACAGAGGAAAAAGACACATGGTCAATTTTCAGAGGGGTTAAACACAAAATGACTTTGTATGCAAAAGGAAGCTGGTCAGATTTAAGATGTATACATACCCCCATATGCATACATATAAGTGCATGTACATACTTATACACATGCATATATAAACACATGCAGACACATAAATACATACATATACACGCATATATATAGCATACAAATATATATGCATACACAAACATGCATATGTACAAACATACATACACATACAAAAATCCATACACATATAAACAAATTCATATACAAAAATGTGGATATGCAAATACAGATTCCTGTGCATAAACACATAAATATATGATGCATATACAAACACTTGTGTACATATATACAAATATAAATGCATATATAAACATATGCATGCGTATATACAAATACAGAATATACATGCACACACACATGAGCATGTACATACACATACATGACAGCTAGGTAGTACAATGGATAGAGTGCTAGGCCTGGAGTCAGGAAGACCTGATTTCAAATTCAGCCCTAGTCACTTACTAGCTGTGTGACCCTAAGAAGTCACTTACCCCCTCTTTGCCTTAGTTTCCTCAACTGTAAAATGGGGATAATAATAATAATGATAATACCTACTTTCCAGGGCTGTTGTAAGGATCAAATGAGATAATAATTGTAAAGTACTTAGCAGAGTAACTGGCACATACTAAGTGCTATATAAATGTTAGCTATCATCATTATTATATCATATATATATATATATATATATATATATATAACCAATATTCTAAAAGAGGAGGTAAATAATGAAATAATGAGATCCAAAACTGTGCTCTTAACCCTCACTACATTATGCTGGGCTCTGAAACAATTGTAAAGCTTCCCAGAAAAAAAGTATCCCTTCAAATAATCACTGAAGACAAATACAATTTGTTTACTAGGCTACACCTAGGGCACATGGTGGGTAGTGGATAAAATCCTAGATAGACTTGAAGCCAAGAAGACATAGCTTCAAATCACATCTTAAATACTTATTAGCTGTGTGCCCCTGAGCAAATTACTTCACCTTTCTGGGCCTCAGTTTCCTTATCTTGGAAGTGAGGGGGTTGGACTTCATGGTGTTTAAGATCCCTTCCAGTTCTAAATCCATAATCTTGTAATTTATTATCCAATAAAAGATACCACCTCAAAAGAAAGCAGAAACTGTACCTCCTCAATCTTTATAGCATTGGAGCTCTGGAATTGGAAGGACCTCAGGGACCATCAGGTTCAATCCCCACACTTAATAGGTACTAAAATCTAGGAGAGTTAAATTATTTCTCCAAGGTCACACAGGGAGAAGTGCTGAATTTGAACCCAGGTACTTTGACTCTAGAGCTCAGAGTCTTTTCACTATA